ATCTAATTAGAATATGTTTGCGCCAAGAATGCTCAGAATATTTATGAGCATGCATTAGCCCTTTTTGGTCCTTTGTGCGTCTAGCATGTTTGATGAAGCCGCATCATGCCAAACTGGATCGCCCATCGGGTTTGCGCAAAAGATCGCAAAAGGACAGGTATACTGTAATAAATGATAAAAATGATACAGAATGGCAGGGCAGCACATCTTTGGTTACCAGTCAACAAAGTGGCGTTGGGGCTTGAGTTGGCAAACCCGAACTGCCGAACTGCCGCGCCAGGAAAGCCATCAGGCAGAGCAGGGTAAGGGACATGAAAATTGAATAAAACTTGGTTTCTTTCTGCGATGTAATTGGAGTCAAGGGCATCCAGTCAGATGTATCATCAAACTGACTTGCTTGTATCAAAGGCATTTGGTTGTTTCGGTCTTCCTTCTGCGTATTTGGGTTAGTATGGAGGATGTGAGGCATAAAGACAGTCAGAGGCACAAAGGCATTCAGTTGAGTCATGAGCCGCAGGGCTCTTCGTGATCCTCATTGCGTGTGGCAGCCTTGCTGCCGTCTTCATTGCAGCGCTCTTGATGATTCGGCTTGGGGCTCAGGCTTTTGCAGTAGCTCTGTAGGTCCCGACATTCCAACAAAATCATACAAAGCGAGACTGATGTTTCGATCTTAGAAATAGAATCCAACATCACTTTTTTGCACACTGGACCAATCTAAAGACTCCAGACACCTTCAGATTCATCTGTGATTGAATGCGCCCAGTAGAAACTTATCGCAACTTGCACATAATTGCCGAGTTTTATGTGCTCTCGTGGTGGCTCATTTTTTGTCAAGTTCTGACGAAAAATTGCAGCTGTTGAGCAGTCACGGAGGGTGATGGATTTTTCTTGTGGTGGTTGAGTAGTAAGGGTTTGACGCAAAACTGAGGTGCATGGAATTCACTCACAGCAAACTGACTGGAAAGTCGCCCCCTCAGCACAATTTACAACCACGGCAAACCATATTTGCGAAGATTGGAAACCAGTTTCAACATGTTTCAACCGAGTTCAAGGATGATATTCTCCTACCACCAGCATCATCTTCATTTTCATGTTCATCTTCAAATTCATCATGATCATCAAAACATTAAAAATCCTGAGCATTAGTCATGATCATGAAGATCGCCACGATCATGAAGATCATCATGGTCATCAAGATTTTCATGATCATCAAGATCATTCTGATCATCAAGATCACAATGATCATCAAGATCATCATGATCATCAAGATCATGATGATCATCAAGATCATCATGATCGTTAAGATTATCAAGGTCATTAAGATTATCATGATCATGTTGATCATCAAGATCATCATGATCATCCAGATTATCAAGATCATTAAGATTATCATGATCATGTTGATCATCAAGATCACCATGATCATCAAGATCATCATCACCATCATTAACATAATCATCGTCAGCATCATCAAGACCATCACGGTCATCAATCATCATCATCATCATCATCATCACCATCATCATCATCATCATGATCAAGTTCATCAAGATCACCATGATCATCAATATCGTCATGATCATCAATGGCATCATGGTTATCAAGTTCATCAAGATCACCATGATCATCAAGACCATCATGATCACCATGATCGTCATTTTCTTCTTCTTCTTCTTCTTCTTCATCTTGATTCATCTTTGAAATTATAATCACCATGACACCTACTGGAGGCAAGGCAGGAGACAGTTCACCTAGCTACAAACGTCGTCATTGGGAATCTTGAACTAGCCATGTATTTTGCAATCCCGTATGCAATCCGTATGCAATCCTTGTTCCAAGCCTTGGGGCATCTTGGGACCAAAGCTTCGCAGTCCGATCTGCATCGCTTGACACTCCCACTGCTCGACAATGCCAAGGAGTGACGACAAGTACGAGTAGGTGCTCAGCTGAATCCCAGCTGGAGAGAGCAAATGTCCGGAACCATCCGAACCACCAAAGAAAAGCACATTTTTATAATATGACAAATTATGACAAATTATGTTTCTTTAAAGGCATACTGGCCATCCAAAATAATGTATTTTCTGTTGCCCTATATGCTTTCAGAGAGACCGATATGATCATTGCCCGATTCAGAAACTATACGCGATTTAGAAACTACGATTCAGAGACTACGATTAGGAAACTATTCCGCGCGATTCAGAAACTAATACGTGCGATTAGGAAACTACGATTAGAAAACTATATTAATTAATTACGTGCGATTCAGAAACTACAATTAGGACACTATTGCGTGCGATTAGGAAACTACGATTAGGAAACTATTGCGTACGATTAGGAAACTACGATTAGGAAACTACGATTAGGAAACTGTTTCCGTGCGATTCAGAAACTGCGATTAGGAAACTATTGCGCACGATTAAGGAACTACGATTAGGAAACTATTGCGTACGATTAGGAAACTACGATTAGGAAACTATTGCGTACGATTAAGAAACTACGATTAGGAAACTATTGCGTACGATTCAGAAACTACTATTAGGAAACTATTGCGTGCGATTTAAAAACTACGATTAGGAAACTCTTTCGTGCGACTCATAACCTACGGTTTCAAAATCATGGACCACACGTTCATACTTAAGGGTGAGACTATTTGTGTTTTTTTTGGCTATCGGCTGACTCGCCGCCCTGAAAGGGTTGTTAATTTTTGCGATTGTGTACTTCGATGTTGTGCAAGGCACGCTGGTATGCTGGGCTGGGATTCCTTGGTACTTGCACGCCAACATGATGGTGAATGGGGTGAGGTTTCCAAATAATAGTTTCCGAATCCGTTGTTCCCAATTTCCAACTTATAATTTCCAAATCATAGTTTCCAAATCATTTCTTATAATTTCCAAATCATAATTTCAAATTCACTATTATAATTTCTAAATCCACTATTTTAGTTTTCAAATTACGCGGTGACCGGAAAGGTATTCATTACTCAAATGAAAATTCGGATTTAAATATCATAATGAAGTCCTTATCCATTCTTTTTGTCAGTAATATTCAATAACGTAATTGCTGGAAGGGCTACAGAGGTGATCTTCTAACCCCGATATAGATATTCCTATTTAGGCACCGTGCCCTATTGTATCTTCCCCCTTTTTCTCGGGCCGACGATTCGAAATTATTTTTATTTTGCAAAATTAAAATATTATAAATTCAAGGTTATATTTATATAATTTATATTTATATTAAAAATTAATTATATTATAAATTATTGAAATATAAATTTAATAATAAAATTAAAATATATATAATTTTGATATTAATTATATATATAAATAAATTATTATGTATAATAAATATATATTTATTTATATAATATCTATAATTTGAAAATTATTATTTTTTTAAAATTATATATTTTATTATATTTTGTTTAATTAAAATTATTAATTTAAAAATTACGAATTTTTATATTTTATTTTTTTTTGAATTTAGACGGGTATTGGTTTAAATGGAATAATATAAAAAAATATATTAATAATAATAATTAATATGTAATTTTTATATATTATTTGAGGAAAAAAAAAATATTTAATATGGAAAAATATTAATTATTTTAATAAGAAATTAATTTTATTATATGTTTATAGGAAAAAACATATTATTCGAATTAAAATTTTTATAAAATTATAAAATTAAAAATATATTTGTTTTTATATATTTATAATGCCGGATTTATATAGATTAGATATTTAATTTAGATAATTGGATTTAAATTTATTTATAATAAAATAATATATATATATTTTTTAAAATATTAATTTTAATTGAAAAATAATAATATTTAAAAAAATATAAATATATATAAATATATAATTTTATAATTTTGTTATTGGTTTATATAAAAATATTATTATATATAATTTATATTTATTTATATAAATATATTTATATATAAAAATATAATTCTATTTTATTTTTTAAAATATATATGTTATTTTTTTAATTTTTTGATATTTATTTATTTATTATATATTTTTTTTATATTTTAAATATTTTTAGATATATATATATATTTTTTTATATATTTTTAATATTAAATTATTTATTATATAATTATGGTTTGG